TTAGCTGCCTTGAAGTCTTATGGCTGAAGCTGTCTACAGCTGAAATGGACAAAGAGCTAAAGCATCATGTGACCAGCACTGCACATTTGGCATGATAATGCTGGATTTAACAGGAGTTCTCTGCACATCATTCCCTTGGTACCTGTTTTGAGGAGGAGCATTAGGGTCCTGTTTTTTACTTTTTGACCCCACACTGTCTCTTTTAGGTTTTTTCTTCTTTGGTTTTCCTTCCTCATTTTCTCCCTCTTCATCTTCATCATCCAAAGGCACATCAAACTCTGGTTCTTTCAATAAGCCAAAGAAAACCTGCAAGCCAATAAGATACATACGACATAATGGCAACTGTTTCTTTTACTGAACACTAATTTTTCAGTCTGAAAGGGACAGCTCTACTAAATTAAACATTACTGCATTCGTTACTGATTAGTCTGTCACAAGTGTAATACATGTTCTGCTGTTTTACCCAACAATTGATCTGGACAACTGTGAGTTCTCCCATAACCTCTTAGTGCTTCCCTAAAGCAAAATCCCTACCACTTACATAATGTATTTGTGTGGCATTATATAGTACTACAACTACTGTTGAGATCTACCCAACAGTCTTTGCAGTAACAACTGGAAGTAAGAACCGTTGTTGCTGTACTAGAGAGGATGCCAGATGGGTCCATTTTAAAACTACACAGCAAAATCATGAGTTTAAATCCAGTTCAGCAAACAGAATATAGAGCTGTCTATCACAGTTCCTTCTACTGGTCAGTGACACACTTTGATTTCTCTACTCCTGATAACATCTATTTGTACTGAACTCTTCCTTCACTTTGTTCGTGTTGTTGTTTAAGATCTCAAGTAGCAGTAGTCAGCACTTTCTGAAAAACTACTCTGGAAACGTTCATTAATAAAGAGCAATAATCTTTTCCTCCTACCTTTGCTTTATTTGCCTCTCGTTTTGCCTCCCCAGCCAAACTCCCAACCATAGCATCTATCTGTTGTTTACTACGAGGCATTCCATCAAAAATATCAATGTAGAGATGTTCCTGAACAATGTTCCAGATCTGGTTGTTCTGCTTTTCCTGAAGATGCCTCTTCAAGAGTTGGTAAGAGTCACGGGAAATACGCAGAACAAACTTGCTTGTTCGGAAATCCAGCATGGTCTCATTGCCTTTCATATGTTCCTTTTTGGTTAAGCTAGATAACACACGGAGGTCATCTTGGTAATAACATTCCTGATCCCCATGAAATCTATTGAAATTCAACACAAGGTAAAAGATTTATTAGGAAAACACCATCTCCTAAGTGCACACTTAATTACATCACTTTAACATGAAACACAGTAGCTTCTAAAGATTCCTCAACAACTATATATGGAATGATCTTTGTGCTGGAATAAAATTCCTTTCGCAAGGAATCAGCGACTTATTGTACACAGTAAAATTAATTAAGAGTTAAAAAAAAAAAAAAAGATGAAGAGAATACACAGAAATGCATAAGCACAAAGGATTACTGCCTGCAGTAAATAGTTACACTAATACATCTATCTACATAAATGAAACTTCAATTAGTGGTACCATAAAGTACAAGGCATTTCTTATTATGTAAGACTACCTGGATGTATTTGTAATTGACTCATATGAATATGCACATTTAACAATGAATACATTCCTCACTTCCCACTCACATTACCTAATAGCTGACATACATCTAGAAAAAATAAGCTTCCATTTTTAATTCAAATCATTTATAAGATACTTGTGGCAGGGAACATTTTAATTATTTAAAGAACTTTTCTTCTGACCATGTTTGAGGGATAAACACGGATTGAAATGTTTCTTAATTGGTTTGATCCCAGAATATAATAATGTAGATTAATGATAATTTCCTTTAATCTTAGAAGAATTTAAATATATACAGTATGATGTTAGTAAACATTTATAGACTGCACTGCTTTGGATCTCAGTGCAACTTCCAAGTGCTAGAAAATGAGCCCACAATCTTTCCCTAAAGCAGCAGCATCTTCTCATTGATACTTTGCAGCAGGGAACCCACCACCTCAACATAAACACCATTAAAATCTGCAAGTGTACAGTTCAAAAGCATGGAGTTTGCACATCTTTCTAACACTGAAGATTGGAAAAGGATTAACAATTCCAGCAAACCACAGATTGTAAGTCCCTTCAGCATTACTGAAGAACATGTGTTTGTATATGTACATATGTACACATACCTATGCCAGCCACTACAGCTAACGGACTTAAAGTAGCAGACAGCACATAATGGAATTACACAAATTAAAATCACTTACCTTTCAAAAAAAGACTTAGCTTCACTCTCATGTTGGTTGTAGACCAACTCCAAGTACATGTGTACAAAGAGAGGATAAAACAGCTGAGACAGTTCAGCCCGATGACAGTCCAGGGAACACTCAATGAAGTTTTTTAAACCGCTGTAGTACTCCTCATACAGCGTTGGGTCCCCCTGCTGATTGTAGGCAGACAACACTGCACTCACATCTGGCTGATCCTCCACAACAACACCTCCTCCAACTGCAAAAGCATTAGCATGTAACAGATTGTAATGCTGCCTCAAAGAGCAATACACAAATAGCAAACACAGTGGCTAACAACACCTATGCTGAGGTAAGATGCTCAGAACAAAACAGAACATTGTTTTGCATCTGTTCAGCCCTACCTTTAAGTGATACACTTGAGAGGATGGTGGCACATTAACTATAGCCCAGCAACTGATTCTTCAAGTACAGTTCTTAATTTTTTGTGCCCTCCCTGCCAAAAGTTGCCTACAAAGTATTTAACGTAGTGCCTAACTCAGCTAAGTGAAAAAAAAGCTAGCGTCGCATCAGAATCCTTCACTGCAAGGGCTAGAAACTGTCAAATGAGGAGCTGAATATTTTTAAGCCTGTAAGATACAATCACTATAATTATTTTGCTTCTAACGAGCAAATTAAGTTAATCAGCTGAACAATTTACCAAGACCACTTCATAGCCATTACAGGGCAGTGATTTTCTGCCACTTCCTACCACTCTCATAGCAGTCATTAAACACTTTTGTCTCTTGGTCTTCTATCTTAATATATATGTACCTCCTATCAGGTGATGCCAGGAACAAGCTGACTTCATATTGTACTCTTACTGCCATTCAGACATATAAGTTCCTGAAACACTTCCAATATTATGTAAAGCTGCCCAGGTTAAAATTTATTACAGTCTGAGGACTGAGGAACAGCTAAAGCCATTATCAGCTGGCACTAGAAATGCATAAAGCCTTTTCCACGAGTACCCTACTGCTTTTTCTTCAAAATGCAGCAGCTTGTACATCGGGGCTCTGGCAACATCCCTGCAGCCATCACCTCTACAAAGGTAATCACATCACAACTACAAAGGGAATCTTCAGCCTCACGTGATGCCCTTCTTGAGATGGTACCCAAAGACAACGGGAAGCACTTGTCCCAGCAAGTAAAACAGACAGCCTATCCTTGGTCCCCTTCTCTGAGAGGTGCACCCCAAAATCGCGATCTCTTCTGGAGTTGCACAGCAGACTGCCAGAACCACCGATTTCCCCGAGGAGTGGGGTGCAGCCTTATCTGTCCCCGGAGGAGCCACCCAGGGGAGCGCAGCCCGTGCCTCAGCATCACCGAGCTCCGAGGCAGCGGGAAGCACACCGAGTCCCTCCCGGCGGGGCCCCCCCTCCCGTAGCTGCCGAGCGCGTCTCACCTTTCCCCGGTGGCACTGCGGCCGCTGCCGCCACCCCCGGGCTAGAAGAGGCGACGGGGGCGACGCTGCCTCCTATCGCGATGGTGGCGGCGGCGGCGACCCGGCTGAGCAGTGCCTCGCTGCTGCTGGCATCCCCTTCGCCCCCCGGGGCTCCCGGGAGCCCGGCACCGGCGGGGCTGAGGGCGGCGGCTCCGAGGTCCTCGCCGAGCAGTCGAGCTTCGCGACGCAGGATCTCTTCGGACTCGCGGAGGTTGCTGCGCCGCAGGAACTGCAGCACGGCCACCAGCGTCTGCCGGTCCAGAGCCGCCGAAGAGGCGGCCGGGCCCGGTGCCGAGGGCTTACCGGACGATGCATCCCCGGCGCTCCCCGCCGTCTCCCCCTCCGCCGCCGCGGCCGACGGAGCGGGGGGTGCGGCGGTGGCGGGGGGAGCGGCGGGGGGCTGTGGCGGCGTCCCCGCCTCCGGGTCCGGCTTCACCGCGGCAACCTCCGCCGGCTCCTCAGGTACCGCCGCCATCTTGCATCGCCCCCCATTCGCCGGTGGCAGGCGGCTGCCGCCAAGCGCGGATGTTTTTGCAACAGTCAGGGCAAAGGAAGGGCACCGCCCTCTGTGACTGGCAGAGCGCTCGTAGCTTCATTTTGCGACGCTGCCGGGAGGGCTTTACGGCAGCGAGGTGGGCTGGGAGCGCAGTACGCCGCGTTCGGCGGTGATGCTCCGTGGGCGTCCTGCAGCAAACACGGACCGGTGATCGAATGGGCGCAAACCGCGGGACGGACCGCTGCTTTCTGTGCGTGTATGCGAGAGATCATATTCAAAGTGACATTGATTTTGTATTAAAAAATCAATGCCGCCTCTGGTATCCTGCTTGGAGGAGACCAACGATGTCTCTAAGACTGTGCCATTACGAGGTTGATTCCTAATTAATTACAGCCGGTCACGTGCTTTCCCAGCTTTCTGTCTGTTAAAATCAGGATTCTTTGATATTACAGAATAAGCGCTTAAAAAAAAACAAAAAAAAAATCCCCTATCTTGTGGCTGACGTGCTTTCTAGATGAATTACACGCCGCACCACGGTAGCGAATCACTCGATTCTTAGCAGTAGGAGCGAAGAGCGTAGAAAGGTCCTTAGCCAAGAACGCTGTCAAGCGTAACAACGGCGAGAGCCGTACCCGCTAAAACTACAGCTCCCAGCACGCCTACTGCCCATGCGCCGCGCCCGCCGGCCCGCAGCCACAAGCGCTGCCCGCGCGTGCGCTGTCGCCCCCGGCGCCGGCTCAGCTCGCTCCCCGCCCTCAGCCCGAGCCATGGAGGCGGAGGCGGATGCGGGCTCTGTGGTTTCGGGGCTGTCGGGAGGGGATGGTGCCGGCGCGGGCCCCGCCGATGAGGACCAGGAGATGGAGGGAGCCCCTGGCTGCTCGGGGTCGCGCTCCCTGCCCTTCGAGTTCGAGCGGAGCCGCTCGGAATCCAGCGGCGATGAGGACGATGAAGATGACGAGGAGGAGGAGATGGAGGAAGAAGAGCTCGAGGGGGACTCCGGGGTTCGCTTTGGTACAGACGACGGCGAGCTCGACTCGGACGACGACCGGGAGGTAAAGAAGAGGAAAGGTGTAAAGGCGGGGGAGCGCTGAGCTGCGGGCGTCCGACGGCCGTAGGCGCAGCAGGCAGGCCTAGCTCCCGGCGTGCACCGCGCGGCGCGTGCTGCTCGAGGCGGCGGCGCGCGCTGAGGGGGGGAGGCGCGGAGCAGCGGGTTTGTGCTGCCTGCTGCTGGGGGCTTGGGAAGGCTGCCGGGTGCGAAGAGGCTCTTTCGTTATTAGCCAGATCCCTTCTGTCTGCTTTAAACGATGCTTTTGTGCGTAATTGGTGTTGTTGAAATGGTGGATGCAAAATGACAGACGTGATCAAAGCGCGGAAAGCCCTCAGATCTGGCTTTAAGACTGGAGCAAACAGCGTGCTAATGTCACGCGTTGGCCTTCTGAGGTACAAAGCTGCTGTCAAAGCCACTGTCGTGGGAGAAATTTGTTCTTCCCCAAAGTAATGGGCTTCTGGGCAAAGCTGGGAGAGCTCCTCGTGTGCGTTCCCGATGAAGTACTTCATTACCAGAATATAGGGCAGTGAAACTTCATTCCTTGCTTCAGTATTTAGCTGTATAGCAGCAGGAGGCAGCACTAAATCTGCCTCTTGACTGAGGGCCTCCATCTATTTCAAATAGTGATTTTTTTTTTTCTTACGGATTGTTTTGTTACAGAGCTCATTCAAAACAACTCATCCCAAAAGTTTGTTTGCTTTTAAGGTACGGTTAATGAAATAAATCACTGCTCACAAAAAGATTGATTCTGAAGACTAGACGAAAGTCTTTAGCATCATAGAATGGCTTAGGTTGGAAGGGACTTCAAAGATCATTGAGCTCCGGCCCCCTGCTGTGTGGGCTGGATTACTGCACACCAGATCTGAACCTTCTCCAGCCTGGCCTTAAATACCTTCAGGGATGAGACATCCAAGGTGTTAGTCCTCTTTTTTTTTAATTGTTCATTATTTCAGTTTGCGATATTTTGGAAGCTGAAATTGTGTAACTTCATGGCTTTACCTCTATTTTTAAATTCTTGTCAACTGTTTTTGTTTGTAGCGTATGATAAACCTGGCAGAGTTGACCCCTTACATCCTGTGTTCCATCTGCAAAGGTTACTTTATTGATGCTACAACTATTACAGAGTGTCTGCACACCTGTAAGTACCAGTGCTTCCGTTCTAAGAACCTAGCTGCAAGTGCGACCAAAAAACAGATATTCAGGTGTTCTGACTTCACAAAGATAATCTGCTATTTGAAGCTAACTGTCCTTAAGGAAAACATGTTGATGCTTATATCAAACATCAGAAAATCATTAACTCAAAGATGAAGTCTGCTTACTAGGTTAGGAGGGAGGTAGGGAAGAAAGTGTAGGGAAGGATGAAGCCCAAGTAAAATGAAAATAGAACTGCTACATATGTTAGGTATACATAAAACACATTGCAGAATTATTTCTTACCTTGGTTGTTCGTCTGAAATTGTTTGTAGGATGCTTTTCAGCAAACCTTTTATCTGTAGCAGTCAGTCTGTTGACTTAACTCTGCTTTTGTCCTGGGTATTGCACTTAGAACATTAAACAGCTACCTTTGTACCAGTAGGATTATAAACCTACGTGTTGTATCCTGTGAACGGTACAGGCAGTTTGTTAGTGTTTGTTAGTGCTGCTGAAATACTTCATTTTATTTCTAACAAACTATTTGACAAATGTGAATGCTTCTCTTGCTTAAGCAGATGTCATTGTAGAATGGACATGTGACTTAACAGGATTTTATTTTATTCTTTTACAGTTTGTAAAAGCTGCATAGTGAGACACTTCTACTATAGCAACAGATGTCCAAAATGCAATATAGTTGTACATCAGACACAGCCCCTCTATAACATCAGGTAATAACTCTGTAGGCATAACATCATGTTTTGCATTTGCTTTTGAAAGTATGATTTTACTGCCTGTAGTGCTTTCCAGTTTAGAGTGAAGATACAGTTACAAGGAAGACATTTGTTTTTGTAAGTTTCATCTCAATAGTGAAAATAAAATTATTCAGTTTCTTTCTCTTTTCCAGGGTTTGTTTACCCTTCCACCCTGGGTAATGTTGTGTATTTGTACAGTGTTGTAGATTATGAGAGAAAGATCTCAAGCTATTTGCTTTGGATAGACCCATCTTTGTTGGCACGGCATTAGTATTTACTAATTCTGAAAATGGAGTTTCAATTTACTGAACTGTTCTTGCAGGGTGTTGCTGCTTTTTTTTTTTTTTTTTTTTAAACATGGCTTCTTCTATCAGAGCTCTCTTGGCAGGACATGAATTTAGGCAGGTGGAGTTGCTGCTCTGTCTCTTACATACATCATTTCAACAGTGTATTTAGCAGTTTTGTTGCAGTTTGGTGAAATAGAGAATACTTTACATTAAAGACTTCTTTTTTTCTCTTTGATAGACTGGACAGGCAACTACAAGACATAGTCTATAAATTAGTTGTCAATTTGGAGGAAAGTAAGTCCATTTCTTTATTTTATTGCCATCTAGAGATTGGAACGAGTAAGCAGAAAGGGCAGTAATTCAAAGTCCCATTTTAACTCTGAGCTCCTTAGAAACAGTTTCACAACATTTGGTTATCAATCCTAATGAATAATCTGTGCAAACTGGCATTTTTCTGGCTGCTAAGTTCTGTTACACATGGCTGTGTGTACCCTGGACAGGTCTATATCGTGTTACATTTTACACATATACAGCAGTGATCTGGAAGTTCTGTTTTTAATCACTACAATAAAACAGTTGTGGTGCTTAAGTAAGCCTTGTTAATGGTCCTAAATTCCTATTCTAGGTCTGGTTATTTGCAAGCTAATGTGCATTTTGTTTTTAAAATAGCAACTTCATTTTTTTGTGGGTTTTTTTTTGTTTTGTTTTGTTGTTGTTTTTTTTTTTTCCTGAAAAACATCACAGCAGGAAAAAGCCTCAATTCAGATGCTGGACACTGCAGTTGTGCTGAAGACGTTTTGGTTTGTTTTCTATCTCATGTGAAGCAGCTGTGACTGTTTCTGGGTACACACTCAGATCATTTTCCACAGTCACGCTTCAAGCAAATAAAGAAAATATTATTTTGTCTAATTGTGAGTTCATTTGTCTCAGGAGGGAAAAAAAAACTGCTGGGACTGACAGATTCTCTGAAATCGTTTTTTATTGTTTGATGTTTTTATTTATTTTTTTTTTTTTAATCATCAAAGCTATGATTTTTATTTTTTTTTCCTTCTGATTATGTACATTCACTGTCCATTAACTTGTGCTTGGGGAGCCATTGAATCTATGCTGTCTGCTCAGGGGGACTGTGTGTATGGACTGTAAGTGGTATAGATGTAAGAGGAGTAACAGTCAGAAGGATACTGCTTTGTGCACATAGTTCAGTATGAGTTTTGTCCAACTTCAAGTTTTTTGCTAAGTGTGGGTGTTTTAAGCAGCTGAACTTTGAATGGAATACTAATGATAATGAACACTTGTTGGCACTTGGAAACAGTTTCAGTTCTAACCATTGGAAACTGTATGTTCTCAGCATCTGAAATAATATTTCAATCTATTCTGTGGTTTTTGTTTCTTGTTTTTTTCAGGAGAAAAAAAACAAATGCATGACTTCTATAAAGAAAGAGGATTAGAAGTGCCCAAACCAGGTGAGCTATAATCATTTAGAGGATGTCATTAAGGAGATACTTACTATCCCATTTATTTTTAGTAGTTTTCCTTGAAATATTAGCTCACAACTAAAGTAAATTTGTAGTGTTCGTAGGGAATGTGAGATTCAAGTTACTAAAGTAGAACGTGGAAAATAGCAACACTTAAACCAAGGTTGTGTTTGGGTGTTTTTACAGTTTATATTTTACTTTTGCCCAGGAAAATTTGTTAAGAATGTGCTAATTGTATTTTCTAGCCCCTAATAAATATTATGAGTTAAGGAAGTCTAATAGGATAAGAACTTGAATGTCCGTTGACAGGTGAGGGATTATCTTAGTTGTTTGTTTGATAGAAAGACAAAAAACATCTCTTTTGAGAATTGCTGTGCTGAAAGCTAACAAAATGCTGGCTCACATACACAGCAAGAAATGTACACAGAGCTGATTTAGTTTATTTAAAAAAAAAAAAATAGGATGAGTGTCATGGGCACTTTTTCCCTTTGAGCTCATCCGTTTTGGTTGGCACATGTTAGCATCTTATTCTGTTTTTATTTCAAGCTGTGTTTGCATTTTGGCTGTTTGAATATTGTAGCTGTCCCACAGCCAGTTCCAGCAAGCAGAGGAAGACCTCGAAAAGTTCTGGGCTCCGTGTTCCGGATCCCACCAGAACTTGACATCTCAATACTGCTCGAATTCATTGGGTAAGTTGTGGACAAATGTATGGGCAAATTGCTGATGCAAGGCTTCTGCTCACGTCTTGAACTGTTTTGGGCTCTTTGTTTTCAAGTGTTTACTACTTTCATCTCAAGTAGCAGATGGGAGTTTTCAGCTTACTGTATAATAGCAGTAGTCAGTTTTGCATATCTAGATGATGCAGATATTTAAAATGTCTTTTTATGAAAATAGATTTCAAAAAAGCTTAGAGCCTTAAAATTTGCATTCCTTTTATTTTTTTTTTTAAAGTAGTGTAGTCTTGGTAAATGGAATAACCAAAATTCCTGTCTCTTATGGTTCCTTCCACCCTGTAGGTGGTGGCAGTACTGTTAGTGATGACTGTACTAGGTCTTGGTCATGTAACTAGGGGACTGCAGTTGTACATGACATTCTGTTATAGCCACAAAAAACTGTATTCTAAGGATGGCTCACCAGGCAGGGGTGTGGGGAAAGGGAAGCAAAGAAACATCTCTGAAATCACTGTGGTTACAGTATTAGTGTTTGGGCATTACATTTCCTAAAGGGTAACAGCACATGCAGATGAGTGACCAGAACACTGGTCCTGGTTACAAATTGTAGAGTAACTCTGACATGTGCCTGGGGAGTCCTGTTTCTGCTTTGCCGAGTAATATAGAGCTCACTGTAGCTAAGTTTTAGCAGTTCAGTATTTGCAGACAGTGTGCACAAAGCCACGGTGCTGCTTCAGTAAAAGAAATGTGTTCTTGATGGGATGTTTTCCAACATTTAGGGGTTAAGAGCATCTCTGACAGCGTGCTGGGAACTTGAGACCTACAATGAGTTTGTTAAATGCAATCAGTGGCAGTTAGACAATTCACAGGAAATTTTATTCTAAATGTATCTGGCCAAGACAAGGTAGGAAACCTGAGCAGCAAGAGTGGCATTCCCCTAAATGTTTTAGGTGGGACTAATAATGTAGTCTGCTGTCAAGTCTGCCTGACAGTTTCTCAGAGTTGAATGACTTATAGCTGAAGCTTTTTTTATGGGACATCAACTTTAGTCATAGCTCAGGAAGGGGAAATTCCAGCCCAAACATTGGAGCTGTTTTCAGGAACATGGGAAGCAGGAATTATATTGCTTTGCCTATCTGCAAATTTTCACAACAGCGACTGAGAAATTGTTATGCGTGGAATAAAAGCTGTAACAACTGAGAGCACTGCACAGAACTTGAATTGATGGGAGGAAGTGACTTGATTCTTGTACAACACATGCAGGTGGCCTCTGCTTTTGGCCTGATTGTTGACACAGTGTTCTGAGAACTTGCACACATAATTGTTGCAAATTTGTACAAATGAGGTGAAGTGTTCAGAACTTGGGAAACTCTAGCAGCAAAGCATACCAACCTGATTTGAGCTTACTTTTTGTCGAGATTGTGTCCTTGCCTTTTTGCTTCTTATGTCCAGTGTTTCTACTGTGTTTTCTTGAATTCAGAGTGCAGAACTTTGATGTAGCTGTTCTGGCTTGTTTATTATTTGTGTTGCCCATCATGTGGGTTTTGTTGTTTTGTTTTGTTTTTTTTAAATCCTTTGGATAGCTCAGACAGGAGATCGCAGTAAGAGAAGTTTTTGAGCTAAATGTCTGCAGAAGAATCCGTGCCACTGCTATAGAATATGCTTTTATCTCCACTTAGTTGAATTCCGTTTTAGTTTTCTACCTGCTTGACTATCAGGAGCACTTTGTGCTCACATGTACATTTTAAAGCAGTGAGAGTCATGACTAAGGCTGTACTATGAAGTGTTCTGCAAACACATTCAGTTTCAGATGTCTCAGATTGAGCACGTGCAGTCCTTTGTTATGTTTCAACGCAGTCTCTGTCTTAGATTCCTCTTTTTAAACAATGTATTACATTGCTATTTTGTTGAGTAGGATGGTGTGGAACACATCCCTGAGTTGGAAGAAGCGAGATGAGGAGGAAATCAATGGTTTTCTGTTATGAGCAGGATCATTACAAGTAAACCAAGAGTCATGTATTGTACAAGGAGAGTGAAGCAAAGACATGATTGTTGGACGTGTGTTGTATAGAAAGCAGCTTGTTCTGGGACCTGTCAGGTAGCAGCCAGTGCTGTGCTGGCCCACCAGGTGGCAGAAGGAACTTGCTCACACCAACAGTGCCTTCACTTAAAGGTGTCCTATTGCCAGTTACCATGTAAAATGACTTCAAATAACTGAAATTGGATTCCAGTTATGTCCCTTTCAGGTTGGGACGCTGTTTCTTGATCACTGTGTGGAAAGCTTTGTTACGTTATCTTGTCTGCAGGATCAGATACAGTTTGAATTAATTGTGGTGAAAGTACTGTGATTTAGAGCTCCACTGTCATGGTTCCTGGTTACTCCCACTGTGGCCCTTGGTGATTCTCAGCAGGTACATTTTTCTTTTTTGCAGAGTAAGAAGAAATAGAAGGGCAATTTATACCTCAAAATGAATTAAACATTTACATGCCTGTGTGTAGAACAAGATGGCTTTTGAATCTGTGTTGCATTTGTTATTCTGGCAGGTTTAGGTCAAGTTTCTATTGTAGTCTAGCACCAAGGCAAGTGCAATTGTGCAAATACAATCTACAGTATGCAGAACTCTCCTCTGCTTTCATTACTTAGATGGAGTGATGCCCAGAAAGATTCAGAAGGATATTGACTTAATGTCTGTTTTGCAATTTATGTTAAAGTTTTGGTTTTTTTTTTTAAATGTTTGATCTTATTTTAATGTTTAAGGCTTAATCTGTTTTCTTCAAAGATCAAAATCAAAGAGCTTATCTTGGCAGTGAGATGTTAAAAAAGCTCTTTGGAGAAGGGAAACTTGGAATAGATGAAACAATCCAGCAGTAATTGTTACTTTGTAAGCTTTAAACTATGCATGTATTTAGATGTGTTAAACCATCTCCTGAAACAGTGTAACTGTATCAAAATAGCAAGAGTGGAAAAGCTTGTCTGTTTGCTTCCTGGTAACTTTACATTTCAATTCAGGGGCAAAAATTGGTAATGCTTCTACTTAAATCTGTTTGATAGCTAATTACAGTAATCTGAAGTGCCATGCTAATTTGTGGTCTGCACAAGCATTGCACATTTGTTTGCTCTATTAAATGGTCAGGAGAAATATTGTCAATTTATAGTGACATTTCTTCTTAGCTCTCTCCAGCACAGTGAAATACTGTATTTTACCTCTGTCATACATATGCACTTGCTAAAGTAATGCAAGAGTAGTGAAACGTCATGTATTGAGCTTAATTCACTGAGAAATTTGTATACTGTGCTACGAGATGGGGATGCTGTATGTAGATAAGTGGGAGCTCACATGCTCAGGCAGTGCAAATCAATGAACCTCCATTGTGGGCAGCTGGGAATTTGGTCATTTTCCACCTCTGTGTATGTTTGACCTGCCAGAGAAGTTCCTGCAGCTTTCCTGAGTTCCTAGACAGCATTACCAGTAATCTTGTAATTATGGTCTGGAAAGCACTGAAAGCCTCTTTGGTGTTTGAGTGTGTTCTGTCAGTAGCTTCTAGGAACTGTACATTAAGGTTCCAACTGTTGAGGATGATGAAGTATGGATATTAAAACAGCATTGATATTACAACTTATTCTATGAAAACTTATATTGCATGTAAAATATGGCTTTAGTGAGTATTGCTTTTTTTCATTTCACGTAGATAAAGTTTATCAAAGTCCTAAGTAACTGAATTCAAAAGAAAGAAATGGGGTACCAAGTGAAGGCTGGGAGAAGAAGATGAATAACTTTTGGCTAATGTTGTTTCATATACTTGATTTTAATGGAAGGAAAAGTCTGATTTTAAACATGAGCTTAATATGCCAGGCTTACAATTTAATAGTCATTACAATAAAGAGCTTGAGGGTGTTACTAATTGTTAACCTTAGCAATATTGATTGTGTTTTCTCTTGTTTTTCAGAGCTAACGAAGGCACAGGGAATTTTAAGGTGCAGATGTGATTTGAACTTTTCTCTTACATGATTTACTTCAGAAATATGTACAACCTGAATGTATTTAATTTAGTTTGTCTTTATTTTTCTTACGTTGAGTACGGCCTGAACTTTTAGCAGCATAATGGAATACAACATATGTTCAAACCTGTTGTTGTATAGCATCACAGAGTAGAAAGTGAATGCTTCCAAGGCTGAGGAATTAGATATGGCAGGAGAGTGGGAATGATGTCAATGAAACTTCACTTGAGTAATTCTAGGTTATTATTCTTGCATTTCCTACCAAAAGGTGCATTACTATGGCTTTTCTTGGAATACTAGGCAGAAGTGCAGTCCTTCTCTAAAAAAGTTTTTTCACAGCTAGACATACTTCAAAGCTTGGCCAGGTTACTCAGAGGAAGCATTACCCAAGGTATAAAAAATGGTAACTTTTTCTACATGGTTGAAATTGCAACAAAAAACAATGCAAATTTTCTAGACAGCACTTCCATAGCTTGCAGCAAACGGCTTTCCTGCATCCCTTCACTAACAAAGCTAGTTGTCTCAACAGTGGCAGTTCTGATGAGTAAGAAATAGCATTCCTACCATCCTGAAGGGTATCTTTTCTGCTGTGCATCGTTATACTGAACTGAATTGGTTGACATCTGTGGATGCACTGCTCGCTGTTTAATGCCTGTGTTATTTCATAGGCTGTAACTAGAGATTTGCAGAGTATGCTCTTCCACTATTTTGGCTAAACATCTAGAAAAGAAAAGTCTGTTCAGGGCAAGGAGGAGATGTAATTCAAAACAACACAGTGTATTTTGCATTTCATTGTTTTGGGGCTTGTAGGAATCAAAAGATGGAATGGCACAGAATAACAATGAGATGTTTTGCTGCTAGCAGCACCAGTAAAACTCCAATTTTGCTCTATAGTGATTTCAATAGAATCGTATTGCTAACTGAAATATGGATTGTCCTATTTTTTTTTTTTTTTACTGATTTCCTTTGTTCTCAGCTCAGTTGATTTCTAATCAATATATTTTCAAGCACAAATCTGAAGTGTTGGATATGACAGCAGTTATTTCTGGTACTTTTAAATACTAATGACACTTGGTATGAGAGAACTTGGGAGGCAATCTCAAAGTGTTAGGTAAATAAGATTTCATGTGCACAAAGTGTGAAAACTTAAGTCCAGTTTCACAAATAGAAGTTTTTCTATAGAACAGAAGCAGTATTTCTAAAAATGTACCTGCCAATTTTATTCACTTGTTTTTCCAAGCACCAGCCAGCATTTTGTATGTTCTTTTTTCTCCTTATCTATCACACTATTTTATTTTTTTTTTTAATGTTCTTGTTTTTACATCACCTCCAATCCTTCATGTCTCCTATTTGTCTTTTTTTCTGTTGTTTTTTTTTTGTTTGATTTTTGTCTTCTCCATTTTGGGCCTGCCACAAATGACTGTAGGGCAATTCAAATGTTTTATTAACCAGTGTTTTCCATTTATAAAATCTGTGTCAGGCATTTATTCTATCTGATATTCCTCATGCTGTTCCAGTAGGAATTGTTTTGCCTTTTAAAACATGTTTAGCTCTTAACATAATTAAAAAAATGAATTAGTGACTCAGAAAAGGGATTTTATGCGTATTCTTCCCTTTTAAGTAATAAATAGTGCATTTCTACTCAGTTTAATTCTAGTTCTGTGAGGATGTTGAAGGCCACAGGCTGCCCACCTGATCTCTCAGGGAATCATTGTGTGCTGCTCATAATGCCACCATCCATAGACTGAAGTGCCATTCTGCACAAGTGCCTATTTAGATTCCTGTATGTTCTTTATAGAAATATCACATCTTCTAACAGGTATCTTCTACGGCATTTCCAATTTTTTTTTTCCTGCATATTACCTCCCTGCTTCAATGTATTTTTTTTTTCTTTTTGTATCTTCCTGTTCTCTATTTCTGTTTCACGATCGAGAGGTTTACTCATCTACCTTCCAAGTCCGTCTCTTATCCATTTCTCACAAAACATACTCTAATTGCTTCTTGGTATTACTCTTTCCTCAATTACTTATTCAGAAAAAAAAGTTAGATTAGACATGAAATTAATGGATGAAAGTGGTTTTTGTTGTTGTTTAGTTTTTTTCCCTGGGGTGGATTGAGAGAACAAGTTATAAGGCTCATGGCCATAAACCTTTGTGCACTAAGTGTAAACCTGGTATCGTCAAGCTTTCAGCCAGCTTAGGCTCCTACTCTGGTCCTATTGGCATTTCTAGCTCTTACACATGAATAAATCAAACTGTTGCTCCAAAAGTACAATTATCATGGATACAGTTATCATGGATAGATATTTTAATTCATGATTGAATTCAAGGGTAGTCTTTAGACCTCTCTGAGCTTTCTATCAAGTGTTTATTTTAATTCATCGATTAATTAAGGGGTACTCTTTGACCCTCTGTTCTGACTTGTTTTTCACATTGAAAGAATATGATGAAGCTAAATAGTAAACCACAACTGTTCAGAAGCTAACGTAAATTCAATTAAATGACACAAATGGAATCCATTTATCATACTGAATGCAGTCATCTGCTCTGCCTTTGTGCCCATTTGCTTAGCTGCCCATATTATCAGTCAGCTGTTCAAAATTTTATCCACAGACAAGAAGCCCATTAAAATCTTTGAGGCTGACATGATAAATGTACTCTTGTTGAAGTCCTTGCTAAGAAAGTATATGGAAATTATACGAAAAGCCCATTCTACTATTTTGGTCCTTGTGTTCTGCATAGTATTTTAAGTGTTCTGGTATTTTATGGACTGTTAATTCCAACCCAATCCACAATACTTCTAACATGTTAAGCAAGTTAAGTTCCTTGCATTACAAAATGATAGCATTTAACTGTTTAAATTCATGTCTGATGTGCAAGCACAACATGGAGAAAAGCAAATCTTAGGAAATCTCTCGTGCTTCTGAATAAATGATTTTTAGAAGCGGAGAGGGGTTGAAGGGAAGAGTTCTTGAAATGCTCTGTAATACCAATTTATGTGAATTAATAGGAAATCCCATTCTCCTTTATTTCAGTAGTGAAATAGGGCTGAAGTCAATAGTTACTTTTAAGAGTTGTTTCAAACAGCAGGAAGTTTGAGTGCAGAATCTGTTAATACACAGTCCTTTCCCTGTGGGGTAATCTGGAAATAGATCCAAGAGAATTCCAAAACATGAGCTGTCTTCTGCAATTAGTGGGCCTTCAGTTAGGTTGGGGATTGCCAGGAATGATGGCTGGAAATATACAGGGTCTTAAGATCATGCGTTTATTCTTTGCAGCCTTTGGAAAAGAAGTTTGTGCGTGTTTCAGGGGAGGCAACGATTGGACACGTGGAGAAATTCCTCAGAAGGAAGATGGATCTGGATCCTGCTTGTCAGGTACGGCACTTACAGGGGCACTTGCTAGTTCACTGTAATCTAATGCCTATGCCTCTGTTGTTTGTTAATGCAGAAGTAGGAGGAACTTTCCCAATCAATTTGCAATGTGTTTAAATTATCATTATTTTGTGTATGAAGTTTCTATAGTGTCATGTAAGATTTCAGCAGGTGAAATTCAAAGCAAAGAATAACCTGCTGTTTCAAAGATAAAATTGAGTAGGTAGATGGGGAAGTGTATGAGTGTGAGAGGATATGAAGGCAGAAACTGAGAGAGGAGCAAAATGTCAGTAAAATCAAACTGTACTTTGAAGGAAGCAAACAGGGTTTGAAAGTTGTGAATGGACGTGTTAGAATGAAAAATATGAATACAAAGGTAGGCAAATCATTTAGATTTTGAGCCCATCTAATACACTAAACTTGAGATATATTTTTTTCTGTTCATTACTTTGAGTTAGGAGAAAATGAGGTTTATTTTAACGTGGTTTTTTCTTTTGAAGTCATCCTGCATCATATTTGCATTCCTGCAGGTATGTGTGTGAACTGCAGCCTGTGGGGTAAGATTGGAAGAAAGTCTGTTCTCATACAGTGTCGTTGCTGATGCAGCCTCTTAGTGCCAGTCTTATCCCTTGGAACAGATGTTTCTGGTACCTTAGAAAGGCAAATCACAGGTTTTGAACAACTCTCCCAAATACTCATGGTGACCTCCAAAACTGTTTTCTTTGTCCTTCCCTGGGTTGTCATAGAAACCATTGATTGAGATCTAGTGCTTTCTAGGCCAAATTTTCTCTTGGGGTTGTCCCTTATACGACCATTTTCCTTTTTAACTTCATCTTACTTGGTGAGTATTAATTTGTAATTGCCTGTTACCATGTTCTTGTGGGGGAAATGGCTCTTGAGTGCAGAAAACATGTCACCTAACAGATGCCCATAAAGACTACTTTGTTTTAATCAGATTTTTGAAGTTGTGTTTGAGTTAACTAGCTGCCCGTTCATTTTTCCCTTAAGCAAAAGGCCAAGCTGTATTCAGTGCTGTCTCACTTGTCAGCTAACAGTACTGACAACAGTTTTACCAGCTCGTCAAGACTAAAGTAGACTCACATCACTTGTGTTGCTGGTGCCTCTTTCATAACAGAATATAGTAATTTCTCTAAGGCACAAGGATTCCTTAGAGACATGGATTTTGCAACTGATCTCCACACTGACCTCGGATTTTTCTTTTGTGGCTTTTTTTTTTGTCATTACAGAATGAATCGGTGTAACAATTAGCAGGCAGGAATTCTGGCTTTGGTGCTAGAGTGAGAGGATTAGGAAATAACAATAAGAGCATATGAGGAGGTGAATGTGGGGGAAAAAAAATCTGTTAGAAGACACTGAATCTTTAATAACTGCTACTTGAAACTGGGGCAGCAAGAGGGTCAACTATGGGATATTTTGAATCAAGAATTCTCATTCTGTTTTGAAAGACAGTCAGCAGTTGCCACCTTGTTTACATCCTACATTGAGAAAATAAATATTTTTTTCTCTTTCTACAGAAAATATAAAGTGTGCATGTAAATATTTATATCAGTGAGAACAAGATTGAATTTTCATTTAGAGTATGAAAATTGTGAACATAGCTTTTAAAGGAGAAGTCATTAAATTCATACATCACTGGAAAACAAGGCAGGCAAGTCTCTCCTCCTATAGTAATAACTGTAGAGTCTAGAATGCCAGGGAAACTGGAGAAATAACTGAAAACCACTAAAAAAAAAAAAGCAAAACAAGATTCGAGGTATTTAACAAACATATCCAACTGTGTATGTATTTTTTATATATATGATATCAACATTTAATGTTACGTCCAGATTGATGTTTACTTGCTGGCTTCTTCCTGGAAGCTAAAAGCAGAAATAATACTAAGCAGTTTATATCATGTGTGCTTTCTGGAACCAATATTTAAGATTTATTCTATTAGAAATGGAGTATTTCACAACATTCTCATAGTATATAAATGAATTTATCTCTGAGGATTAGAATTCTGTTGTTCCCAAAGCTAAGAACAATACAGTCTGCAAGCATGAGACACAAATGTTTCTAAATTTTTTTCATGAAGAGTAGGAGAGAGATGTCAGTGTGCAAAGGAGTGTATGTACAGACAGACTGAGCAGCTGAAGCACAAAGTGTAGTGGGAAGTGGCTGTAAAACCATGTAAGAGGACAGGTAACAATATTGCAGTATATACTCCCTGACCACTGTAGTGGCAAAGCAAAAACTTGTCCCTCCCTAAAGCTACGTAACAACATGCTGACAATGCTTTTATCTTTGAGGTTTGATCATTGTAATACAAATGAAAGCCCTCTCTAGGAATTGCTGAGAATGAGAATAGAATAAAGCTGCAGTTGTGAGAGGAAACAGTGCTGGATTGGTTGCTTCTAATAGAGAAGCTTATTTTTTTGTAATAGACAAGGTGAAAGGAATCTGGAGTGCCTCACTATGAATCTCTTTTTTTTTTCCCCCAGAGTAACACTTCTTGTGCACAGCTACTTAACAAAAGTGCTTTCTCTGGAATTGCAGACATTGTTGATGTAGTTAAGCTGCAGTTGAGGATGTTATTTAGGATTGCTGAGTATCCCTGTTTCTTCCATCACAGAAACATTGATTACATTTTAAAGAAGGACAGTGTGAGAAGTACTTGCTGACAATACTAGTATACTAGTGGTATACAGTGAGCTTAATGTTTTTTATTCATATCTTTCTTCCAAGCAGTCTTAAGCAAACTTACTCATGTGTTTTGTTGCTCAGAATAGGAGTGAGGGTAGTACTGGCCCGTTACTTGCCATAAGCACTGACAACTTGCCCTTTTTTGCAGATAATGAATGACTCTGGGTGTTTGTGTGATCACTTTAATGTTTAAATATAACTTCCTATTTTATCCGTCACAGCTATTCCTAAATGGTTTGGGTTTGTTTCTTTTTTACAGTGGGCTCACCCAAGTGAAAGTGAAGCAAACTATCTCCTCCATTCCAGAATTAAGCCCCAACTTGGGGGATGGAAGGGAGCTTTAGGGCAAAGCATAGTGTTGTGCATGCTAAAGGCATTTTGACAGCAAAGTTACAGATTTCTGTAGGGTCAGACATGCTATGGTGGAATTCTAAGCAGCTTTAGTTTTACTTTATGAACTATCAAATTTAAATGGCTTAGATATTGTCCTGCTAGTCCAAAGTCAAGTTAAACTTGACAATGTTTGTTTTCTTCCACAGGTAGACATAATATGTGGTGATCACCTGCTAGAGCACTACCAGACACTGAGGGAGATCCGGCAAGTCATAGGAGAGAGTGCTGTACAGGTATGTGTGGCAGCTGGGGCTTTGTGCTGTTTTAAAATAGGTTAAGAAATATTCTATCAGGTAACACCAACTTAGCAGAAGAAGTTACTTACAAAAACTTTCATCTTATGCAAATTGTTCTTTATATTGTAAATGTAGTTGAGAAATATATCAGGTAACAGAAGTGTTCTCGACGGTTTGAGGATGTTCTGGGTACAAAATTGTTCTATTCTGAAACAAGCTGCTGTCTTACCAGTGATACAGCCGTTCTTTTAAGTAACATTTCTTGTTTTTCTTCCTGGTGATTGCATCTCTGCTGCAGATTATCAGAGTGCTGAAGTATCCCACATAAGGCCAAGGATAACCTTGAGTCTGTACAAGGGATTATCAGGGGAACAGTTGCTCATAAAAGCACAAACCAAAGATGCATGATAGTAAGTGCAGTTAATGTCCTTGATGCATATTATACAGGTCCTGATCAGAGCTTGAGGGTAGCCAACTATTTTTTTTATCAGTAATTTACTATGTTAAATGCTGCTGGCTCTGTAAGTAAGAAAACCTTTTATTTCCTTGGGAATCTCTCCAAACATCTTTATAATGGCAAGGGTCACACCATTTCATAAGTACAACAAAGCCAATGAAATAATCTCCGCAGTGCTTAGTAGGATATAGAAGTAAAACCATGTTGTGTAAATAGCATATTAATCCTAACCTGGCAGTTTGAACAAATTTTACTGGTTCATCAACTACAGTGGGGATGAATGGGGTTTAGGTTGGTATTGTATTTGGAAAGCAACTTAAGTAGATGACACAGAAGTTAAATTAGCAAATTCAGTTCTCATGACTTGTATGTCTGTGTGCACTCACAATCCAGAACACTTAAATTTCATGTTGAGCCCTTTTATGCTATAAGAGGGATTCCGTGTCAGGGGCAATGGGTGGAAAGCCAGTTTCAAGGTGTCCTGGGTAATGCAGCACCTGTACCTAATTTGACTAACCAGGAGAGATCCCATAGTCAGGGCGGATGGTACAGATCATGCTACTGGCAGAAAGGGAAAGTCTTTAAGGCTTGTGGTGTGTATTATGGCTTCTGCAGCCAAAGGAAGTTATGTCAAACTTGATGTCTTGGCTGTTCATCTAATAATATGAAGAAAAACTTAAGATTTAACCTAACCCACATTAGGGAGTATAGAAACTGGGAGGAAGAAACCACTAGTAACAAACACACTTCTGACATAATGAGTTTATGGTAAGTACAACATGGAGCAATCAACAAAAATAGTGATGGAAATACTCTATACTAAAAAGCTTCAGGAAATAGCAGGGGAATTATTAAATGTATGTAGTTATTTACTTTGTCATTGCACAAAATCTTTTTATGTATGAAAGTGCTCTTGGGAAATGACTGTAATGAAAACTGTTTTGTTTTCATTTCTTATCAGAAGTGGATCTTCCTGATTGAAGTTCTGTGTTTGTCATGGACATGGGGAAATGGTTTTAAGTTGAGGGAGGGAAGATTTAGGTTGGATGTCAGGGGGAAGTTCTTCACAGAGAGAGTGGTGAGGTGCTGGAACAGGCTGCCCAGAGAGGTTGTGGATGCCCCGTCCCTGGAGGTGTTCAAGGCCAGATTAGATGGGGCCCTGGGCAGCCTGGTCTAGTATTAAATGGAGAGGTTGGTGGTCCTGCATGTGGCAGGGGGGTTGGAGATTCATTGATCCTTGTGATCCCTTCCAAGCCTGGCAATTCTGTGCTTTCATGTCAAAATAGGGTCTTCCTGATTGATGTTCAGTGCTAAGCACCAGTCAGCAACTCCACAAAGAGTACAGTTGTCTAAGGATCTGTTCTCGAAGGGTATATCAAATCTCATTATTACAAAATAAGTATGCTAGTAATGATTTCTAGCAAGCCTGCTCTCTTGGGGAAAACAGAAGGAAGATCTTTGCTTTCTGCAAAGTCCTGTGTTTTCACTAGACCTAAAATTCAATGGTTTTCTAGGTCCAGTGAGACTGCAAGTACACAGGAATGTTTGGCAGGTTTTTTATGTTTTTTTCTAATTAAGCTTGGGGCATCATCATAACCTTCCTGCCTCAGCAAACCAGTATTGCTGGAATTGTTCCTAACAGCTTTCACTAGGATGTTTTTCAAAACTGCCATTGTCATTGACCACGTTCTGATATTCATTGTAGATTATTCACACTGAGAAAATAGCTTCCATAGTTACTTAAACAGAGTAGTCCTTTCAGGGAGTAAACTTGGGGTTTGATTTATTAAGTACAGTTACTGTGAGAGGAGAAAAGTAACTGTTTTGAGTCCCATTTTTTTTTCATGTGCATGTTCATTCATGTCAGCAGTTACTCTTTTTGCTGAGGAAAAGGGGTTTAAAAAATGCAGGTAAGTTTCACTTTGCCAAAGGCAGAAATTTAAACAAGCATTCTTAGCCAGTGTTTTCTGAACTGGGCTGTAAGAGCTGTGATCTAATTTAATTAGTGTGACCCTCTAGCACACATCTGCCATGGAAGTTTTTTTTTTTTCTTTTACTCTTTTTTTTGTGGGAATATTGAATGTGGAAAGTGGGGCACTTCTTGTTACTGCTGCTCTTACAACTTCAAAAGGTGCATATGCCATGATGTTTCTGTCAGTCAACTCACTCTAACACTTATATTTGGGTTTAACAGGTGGAATCCTTTCCAATTTAGGTCAGGTTCACAAATGTGTGGCAAAAAGCCCTAGGGGCAGGAGCTGCTGTCAGAAGAGCTCGTACTTTCCTTTTCTGATGGACACATCTGAGTACTCTGATTTGAGATCTGTAATAAGCAGTGAGGTCTCCTTCTCTTTGTTATTCTATCTCTAGAGAAAGCAGTTGAACAGACACAGAAATGTATAATACCTAGAAAGTGAATAAGTACAGGGTAAGCAGCGCCACTGTTGGGCCATATCTCAGCTTCTCTTTGTGCAGAAGTAGTTGCAGTGGGTTTGGCATTTGATTTGAGAATGGTATTTCCCATGTAAGTAAGTCATTAATCAAAAAACACACTGTAGCATTTCTGTCTTGTATTTCTTTACTTTAAGAAAAGTTTCCATAGAGGAAAAGCTGTGTTGATCACAGTTTTCCAAAAAAAAAAAAAGGAAGTTAGTCTTCCATTTTCCCTGTGGAAGTAGCCAACGAGCAGCAAACATTACCTCTGTGAAGGTATAATGACACTCCGTGCCAAGAGGTTGATAAGTGACTTTGAAGTATCTAACAAAAAGTGAAGACAAACAGGATCTTGTCTCCACGTTACAACATAGTCATCCCACTTTGTTAGGCACTGAGTAAATGAGGCAATGGAAGCTCGTTCTTCCTCCCATATCTATTTGAATTAGTAATGAATTTCCATTTACTAACAGAATGAAAAGATGAAGGAAAATAACCTGGCAGTACTAAAAACAGCAGTGAAATAGGAGGTTTCTTGCATTCTCATTCCTTAAAGTTAAGATTGGTTGGCCACTGCCCTGCACTAAGGCCCTCTTTTGTCAGCATCCTTTAAAGAAAAGTAAAATGGCTGCATGAAATTCAGTGCGTATTTGTTGTTGCTTTGAAGCTGTTTTTATCACCTGTTGTTATGCAGTTACCTGCCAGAACTAAAGAAAATAAGAGTAGAAGAGAGAGTTAAACACGCTCAGCTGCAGCTGCTATTTTTTTCTTTGTGGCAGTGGAAGCAAAACAAAGCTATTTTCTAATAAGCAGACATCTTTTAGACAGAACATCAGGGTGTTGGTAGGGGCTGTCTGATAATAATTCCTAAGGGAAGAAAAAGAATATTTCATGGAGATGTGGACAAGGGCATCTACTCACCTGCATCTGAGATCGATTTCCTGATGTTAGATTTCCTGCAGTGCAAAGTGTCTCGGAGAGTTTTGGGTAGCAAAGGATACCAACTTGTCAAAAACATTTTTATACAGTGAATGAGCTTTTAAATATTAAATATTCTCCCAAAACACTGGTTAGACCACTGTCATACTTCATGTGTCCTGTAGTATAATGCAGCGGTGGCATAAAGTGAAGACAGTCTTGGTACTTTTTTTAATATAATTGGAATGGTCTTTATGTGGCCTTTAGATCTTTAAAGTTTGTGTTGCTGTGATGGTTTGTTTGTTTTTAAAAATGTGCCCCCTCGCACTGAATTACATGACTTCTCTGGAACATATATTAAGTCCTAAGGTTAATGGCTAAAAACATCAAAAGTAAAATATGGTAGGAAATGTTAATATGTTGTCTGTGATTAATGTGTTTCTCTCTTCAAAAGAAAACATTTATTAAAGCCTGTCCACATAATTAGTTCTAATGCAAGTCAGATCCCTGGGGGATCAGGAGTGGGAACAGGTTTCAGAGGTGGAAGAAGACTAACTACTAGATCTTTCACCAGCTGTGCAACTTAAGTTACATAAGTAAGATTTATTGTAATGAGTCAGGAAGTATTGTCTTGCAGGTGAAATGGTTTTTTATTAACTTCAGCAGAAGCACAGGGATTTAAACAGTGTTGTTCATCAAGAAGTAGGATGTCATGGTAAGCTGGCAGTGTGGCTTAACGAAGCTGGTGGAATTATTTGAATGTATTACTGACATATGCAGGACTCCAGCTAACTTGTAGAAATGTAAAGACAGTGCTTTTGTACTTCAAAAAAAAAAAGAGAGAAAAAGTGACTTGATCTTTTTTGTTGTCTTTCTATCTTAATCCCAATTGTCAACAGTGACAGAGCCACTGAACAGTAAGCTGCAGCAGCCAGTAAAGGTACTGAAATTAGCATTAGGAGTTGGAATCCAAGTTCTGTGCAACAGGCAACAACGTTTCCTTCTTCTTCCTCAAATGTCTGTTTGACTTTTGGTGCCTAGAGTTAATGGCCAGAATTTGGTAGCTGCTTCTAGAACTATTTAATGAAGTTATTTATTCTGCCTTGCTGTGTCATATGGGAAATGAGGTATAAAAGTAAAGTGAGAGGGGGAAGTTTTTTATCTGCTTTGGTATTTTATAAAACTTGTATCCCTGTTACGAGAGGGGGAGTGCAATGGAATGAGTGAGATTGAAACCACGCCGTGACTGCCACACCAGGCAGTGATGGGAATGCCTTGTGGAGAAGGCAGAGTGATCCGATAACACAGTTTCTCTCCTCTCTCTAGGATGGCTTGCTTGTGCTGCACTATGGCCTGGTGGTATCTCCCCTCACCATTCCTTAGATTGCTACGCTATCAGGATGTGAAAGAATCCAAAGTCATGAAGCTCCTTCACTGCTGTTTCTCACCAAAGAACGCCATCATGTTTTCTGTGACAGGAAGCAAGTAGAAGAAACTATCACTGACTGCTGTATGCTTGTAACTTACATCTGACTTTAGCACTATTTTTTGTTTGTTTGTTTTTTAAGTGTTCAGTACATACAGCTATCAATTTTCACTTAGCTCAGGGACTTTAAATGCTCAGAGTTGCTGCATTTCTTTAAATAATTCTTAAAACCACAAGATCTCACAGGGTAAACAGGCTTTTTCCTTAAGCTATGGGATTTTGCTTACTTCCTAAGTGTCTAGCTAGAACAGTATTCTCAGGGATGATCTTCAGTGGGCAGTACACTGTATTCTGGGGTGGAAACAGTCATAGGGTGCAGAAAAGCTTGTAGCGATCATCTGACTTCAGATGTGATTCAGGAGAGGAAGGAGACTCTTCAAATGGAGACCAAAATAGGTAGGAAATGATGTCTCACAAACTTTATTCGGTTGTTTTTCTTGAAGAAAAACAATTTTGATTGCACTTGAAAAATATTTGCTGGTAGTTTGACTTACATCAAGTTGTGGGTCACGCATCTCTAGTCTGAATGGAGGTGAGCTGGCTGTAAGCTGGTTAAACTATGCATGGAGGGGGAAAAAAAAGCATCACCTCGTTCTACCTGCTTGCTGTATTTTAAAATAGCCTAATTCTGCTGTCGTGTAAAATCTGTCATATGACTTGACTAGCAGGAGCACAGTTTCCTTCATTCCAGCACACAGCTTTCTAGCAGTAGTGAAAAATGGTAGCTTTTTCCACTCTTCCCAGTATGTGTTAGTGAATTGTAGTGGAGAGTGGGTCTGAAGGGTTAAATAGCATAGTGTGTGCCTCTTCATACCGCCTTTATGGAGGGTAGTAGGTAACATTTTTGTTCATTTGTTTCAACGTATTAAATTACTAGGTTTTGGGACAGCTGTAGTATTCCAGTTCTGTCCTGTTGAAGTTTTTCATGGTCTCTTGTGCAGCATTAAGGAACAGAGCTTTCTGTGCAATGCTCTTGCTGCACGTTCTGTCTTATGTGTGGGGATTCATGAAAGCCACTGTTAAGAACCAGGCTGCCTCTATAGTCAGCGTAGTGAAGGGAAGAAGATTCCTTAGTGAGGCATTTTAGAGCACTTAAGTTAGCTCAAATGTGTTTGCTTACTGTCCTATTTGCTGCAGTGCTGTCAGCATACTAATACTGGCATTTCTTGTCTAAAGAAAGCTTTCATGAATCCTTCTTCAGCTCTTTACAGAAAGTGTTAAGTTTTGCCTGTGAAGGCAACACCACAAAAAAAAAAGTCTTATTTGAAGTAGTTCTTGTGATGCTTCTAAAAAAAAAGAACAAAGACATGTCTAACTATAATTGCCTATTTTCCCTTCGAAGTTTGTACAAAAGTAGTGTTTAAAATACATTAGAAAATTGATTGAATTATTTTGTAAAGACTTTGTGAGTTGTGTTGATAAGAGACTATATATTGTAATGGTAAAATAAAATTTATTTTAGCCAATTTTAAATTGAACACTTGTTTCCATTTCGTCTTCCCTTTTGTCAGCCTCTAAGTTGTAGCAGTTCAACATTGAAAGTGCTGGATGTGCCCTGGTGTTGCTAGAATCACACATTTCAGTGAGAAAGCTTAACTATGAAAGATGGTTTAATATCAGAATGTCTACTGGAGCTAACTGGTATCATTACCTGGAATAAAATGAAATCTCAGATGAATTATCAACACAGATACAGGACAAATAATCCTGTAATGGAGGCATCATCAAGCCCCCTGTGAACCAGGTCTTTCTCTGCCACTCTGATCCCAGCTGTACACAAGGTGTCTGGCTTGACAATACTGCCACTTCTTGTTTCATCACTACTTACTGTTTTGTTTTCTATCTGTAGCTCTATTATAGTTGTGTTTTATGTTGCAAATTCTTCCCTAGTCTGGGCTCAAACATCATGCCTATCAAAGGGCTTTGCAGAGTTTAACAGGCATACAGAAGCTGATAGTTAATTCAAATTTATGTCTGTCTAGGATAATGCTGACTTTTGCATAATCTAGCTAAACCATCTGCTAAATTGGTACTGTTCCGACTGAAGCAGTAACAGTATCAGAGGTCTCTGCACTATCTTTACTGAGTTTATCCATAGAGTAAACCATGTACCATTTGAAATGAAAAAGTCAAGACTTTCCAATCTTCCAGTCACTTAATGATAGAAGATCTACAGGTAGAGTGCATAAAACTGCATTCAGAAACAGGAGTGTTGCCTGGAATATTTTGTATGAGCCCTTAGTGACATTTTATTTCCCAATAATTTATTGTCTGCTTCTTTCTTTCCCTTCCTCAGCTGCCTCCATACAGCATATTCTTTGCAAAGTTGTCTTGGCTGAACGTTTTGCTTTCTTCTACCTTAAAGTGTACCCTCAAGGCACTGATGCTTTACCTGCTCTCCAGCTCCTGCTGCACCCCCTGGGGTTCTGCTGTGACACACCAGTGTGCAGTGGGGCTGACCTTTGGCAATTGTCGAGGCTGAAACGTGGGCTGTGCAGTTCCCCACATAATCAGCCCGCTTGCTTAAAAATGTGCCAATCTTCTTGCAGCTCTGCTGCTGCTGTTTTATTTCTGTTGGTCTCCTTTTAACCTTGGCTTTCCTCCAGCCGCTTGTGGTTCTGATGATAGAATTGCTTCTGTAACAACAGGCCGCCTATGGGATGGCGTCTCTGCCCTTGTGGGAGATGAGCCAGCCTCGTGCTCAGGAGGTGAGAGAATGTGGGCTTGGACTTGTGCGTCGATTTACAGACACTGTATCATTTCATTGCGTGATGAAATAGTTCTGGTCTTATTTTATGGTTACCTATTTAGAGATGACATGGCTGATGCTGAGCTTACAGTTCTGCTGACTCCTAGCAGGAGAAGACTATGAGCTGTGATGTCAGGAGCTCTCATAAACGCACAGTCAAGCTGTGGTCGAGTCATGAGCACTGAGCCATGTAGGTTCTGTTTTCCTTGTGTTTAATCTGGATTTAGTGTAATATGGTAAGTTTCAGGAGACTAATAAAACTTGCAGCTGGAGAGAGTGTGATGGTGATGCGTAAATATTATTTATTTTCTTAATATTGCTGTTATGCTTGGACCTGAATTGTGCTGCCACAAGACGAGCAAAAAGGAAGCCAGGAAGTGCCTTAACACTTATTTCCAAGTTTCCAAAGATACAGAGCAGCCAACGAGTTTCACTAAAAAATCCTTCCAGCTGTCTGTTACTGTGTATTATCTTTTGCTTTGCAGGGAGGAGGGACAGATTATCCACACAAGTCTCAACAGAGAGAGGTTACCAGGTGCCAACCTGAATGTTTATGTTTAAAATGCTGTTGTACTGCTGTGATGGATACTTCTGAGAAATGGAGAATGTTGCAAACAGTACCTTCCCATCACTAGCTTTTTTTTTTTTTTTTCCCTATTACATTTTTCTGTAACCATTTCAACACAAAGAGAAGAAAGGTGGTTGTAAGTTGAATTTTGCACGTCATCTTTGGAATCTCTCTTGAAATGAGAAATGAGCCAGCAAATCTTACATTTGCTTAAGTTTCAGAAAGGGACCATACATGCAGGTCAGCTGGTCAAATTCTGTTGTTTTTTGAGATGAATAGTAATTCCTGCTGTGAAATGTGATACTGATGTGCTGCTTTGTGGCTGCAGAATTCCTGTGAGGCTGTATCGCCATCTTTATTGTGTTTTGATTTAGTATGATGATATATTTGTGTCAAAGCAGTAGTGATCTGCAAAAGAAACATTTCCCCAAGTGGAAGGGAGATTCTATATTTTCTACTTGCTTGATAAAACAATCAATTTGGAAATGTGAGTCTTAGAACATCTGTTTTCTTCCAAGGGAAGCATTACCACTAGAAAAGGGAATGGTGAGGATTTGGCAGAGATTATGAAGAAAATAACATGTTCTTGGGTGAGTTCCTTTGCAACTCTTCCCATGTGTTGCTGAGAAGGCACCAAGCAGTTCCACAACATGCTCAGAGCCTGCTGCTTGCAGTATGCCTTTCTGGAGGTGGTCCTTTCTTGTGTACAATGAGGACTGAGGTAAGAATTCCCTGGGTGGGAATCCTAACATCCTCCGTGCTCTGCAGGGTACGTAAGGGCAGGCAGTTGGCAGGGTGCTGCTGTGGTCCTCTTTGTAAATGCACGTATAGCAGCACTGGTAACAGTACCTATTACCAAACTAAGTATTTTCCTTCTGAAGTTGTGTTCAAAATTTTGTCAAATGATAAACATAGGCGCTGAATTTGTTCTGGCTACCAGTTGTTCCAGCTGTAAGTAGATCCATCTGTGGAGAGTTTCATCAAAAGCAATCAGCTGCATTGACGAAATGAGTAGTTAGGAGGGCTTGTTTGTTTGTTTTTTGGTTTTTGGTTTTTTAAAATCCTATTTCATGTTCCTCTCTGCTTTAGCTAGACTTGCATTGCTCATGCTGTTAGAATACTAACTTGAATTCAAAGAGTCAGGTCCCACGATGCAGACATCTGATCACTCTGGCTGCTGGCATTAAGGGCTGTACATAGGTAGCTCACTTGAGGATGAAGCTTTTTTTGCAGAGGTCTCTGCTAAGAGCTGGCAAGAAGAGAATGGGACAGATCGAGCCCTAGGTGCCAGAAGAGGCTTTTCTCTAAATTGCCATTGATTCCTTCTTGTGGAATAACAGGCTTCTTCCCCAAAGCCTCAAAATGAGGTGTTTTCCCTTTGTAGGAATGCAAATGCTTATTGGGTTTTCCTTGGCTTGTTTTCCTTTGGCTTAATCCTTAATGGATTCCAGCATCTAAACAAGTGTAACTGACAAAACTGTTCCTTGTGCATAGTGGTTCTCCCAGCGTTTAAGGTGCTGTACATCTCAGCACAGTTACTGCACAACGTCCAGTGGTGCTGAAGGGATCCTGAATCCAAGATCCTGATGGAAACAATCTCTTCCATCACTGAAGCAGCAGGAATATGACCCAGGCCTATCCCAGGCTGCATGAACTGTCCCGTCTCATCCTCATGGAAATGAAATGAGACAGTAAGCCACAAAATGCAGCTGCAGGGCCAGTGTTTTCTTCCAGGAAAATGCAGTTCACCCAGGCATGCGGCAGGAGCTTGCACCCCTGCATGGGGGCTGACGTTCTCCCCAGCATAAATATAAAGGCAAGGCAGCGTGACAGAAGAACAGCCACTCAGTGCTGCTTCCCAGGCTGATGGTACAGTCAGTGTCTGCAGCCGCCTTTTATTGAGAGGTCGTGGCTTTGCAGAGGTATAAATCTTTTAAGCAGCTGCAGTGTTCTTCCAGCAGCCTGAGAGTTTAACCCAATAAAACACTGGGCTGCAGCAGAAGCCCTATTCCAGCACCACAACCTCCTCAGAGATCTGGAAATGCAAGAAATCTCCGCTGCAGCCCCTTTACAAAGAGCTGCATCTGGTTCCAAAGCAATGCCTTGTCCTCCCCCAGGCTCCTTTGTTCTCCTCCATGAATGCAGACCCTCCACATCGTTACTACCAAAGCAAATCCCAGCTTTGCTGGGAGCATGCAGCCAGCTGAGCGGGCAGGGAACCGGACTGAGGCTTAGAATAAAGGACAGGTCAGGCCCTTTGTACTCAAGGGGCAGACACAAAGCTGCGCTGAAGGACATCTGAGTTTCAGATTTTTGTTGTATCAGCTGCCTGATCCCATCTGCCTTCTCTTCTCCCTATGCCTGCTGGCCCATGGGGATGCTGGTGACCATCAGACATCCCAGTGTCTCTGGGATGGCTGAGGCAGGCTTTGGTAAGGTGGCAGGAAGTGAAAGAGCTGGGAAACCCTGCTATGGCAGCGCCACCAGTGGGACACTGCCTCCTGTGCTGCTACCTGCAAGGCCCTGCTGGCAGCTCTGTCCCTGCTCTCACGGGGTTTGTTTGGGAGACGGGTGCACCCTCTGCTCTTCTGTTAACTTTGCTAAGGCATAGATTGTGTCACCTTCAATTGGCCGTGCAAACACAAGCTGTTTGTAACCCCTGAGTGCATGTAGGAGGCGCAACCAGCCATCTTGTGATATAATCTACAGCCTCAGTGTTCATTTTTGGGGAAAGCAAGGGCAATCCCTGCCATGGGAGGCCTTTCTCCCTGACTGGGCTGCCACAAACTCCACAAAGTGTGGCTACTGCGGTGGACACCTTGAGATGAGATCAGTACATATCCCATGGCTTCAGCAGTGCCGGTGCTGCCTCCAGAGAGCTGCAACCCAATGACAGGAGCAGCTTTATGGGGTTTTCCCTGTCATGAAGTTCTTTCTCATCTGCCAGCCTTTATGAGACCTTGGCCGTGGGGTCCATCACTGAAACCATCATGGACAGGATATCCTTGATCATGACTATCTCCTGGGGTACTATCTCCCTGGGAACAGGGAATGGCCTGAAACTGTGCCAGGGAGGTTCAGATTGGTTGATAGGAAAGATTTTTGCTCAGAAAGACTGTAGAGGCATTGGCACAGGCTGCCCAGGGAGGTGGTGGG